ATTTACGATACAAAACGAGGGTCGGTAGTTCATGGGGGGGCTACCATATATATATATATATATGTAATATGTAGTTCCTACTTTGGCCTGCCTTCAGCTTCGGGGAACGGAACCCGACTCAAGGTTGTTGCTATGCACTGATGCAATTGCATCTTCATTCGTGCTATTGCAGCACTCTCTCGTCGGATGCAGTCTCTCCGATGCTATCGCAGAACTTTCTACTCCGATGCACTCTAAACCCTAAAAACCCTAAACCCTAAACCCTAAACCTCTCTCTCGAGTGCCGCAGCACTCGCACTTCCGGGCTGTCGCAGCACTCGTACATTCCCTTTGTTTGTGCTATCGCAGCACTTGCACCTTCCCTGAAGGTGCGCCATCGCAACACTGGGAAGTCTCTGGATCACATGCAAACATGCAAAGCTCCCACTGCCAAGCTCCTCGATGACATTGACGTGGCCCAAGTAGGCCTGAGTCACAAAACGATTCCGTCCGAAACGGCAAAATTCAAACACTCACGTAAAACACTCTACAACGCAGGTGCTGTTTCGGGGGCAACGTTGCCACCACACCCAGAGAGCTAAGACCACATGCGACGGCTCTAACATGCAATCCTATGCTGGTATGCTACGAAGAACTCGAGGATGCACCCTAATCACAAGTCCCGGATGTCAGAGGGTCCCTTTTGGGCTCTCCAAAGCTCGTAACCGTAACCCCCAGCAGGTCGTGCACTCAAGCCACCAGCTACACACCTCTTTCTTTCAACATGTCTAGACTGATAATTCTTTCATAAACTCTTTACGCCTACGCCCTGTGCTCTCTGAGACCTAAGCCCTAAGCCTTAAGCCCCTAATCCAAATTTCCACAGCTCCTTCGAGGATTGGGCTGCTGCATGCAGCGCCGTGCCGCCCGTTCGGCGCCTTGACACCAGAAGAGTCTGGCCGACGTCTATGTCTAAACAGGAGAACCCTGCTTTCAATGTTGGGAACTCTGAAGCCTCTGAAGAAGCCCTTTGGGCATTGGCCTGTGGCCTGAAGGGTGCAACAGCCAGGCAGCAACCGACATTGCAACGCACCAATTCAGGCCGAATCCCTGCCAGGTTGATGTTTCTGGCTTTAGTTCTTGGGTCTTACATCGTTCTGCCATGCCCGAAAGTCCGAAAGCCTCCACCAAACATGCTCTCTCACACCCAAAGCTGGGCCACGGGACTGGGCCACATCCAGCTGCCCAGGAGCCTCCAATTTGCGCAGTTAATTCTGCGAGGGTTAGGTGGTAGGGCGTGGCGGCTTGCAAATACAAGATGGGCCCATGACGCGTTCGATTTCGGATGCTTTACAGTAACATGGAATTAGACATAATGTACTTTACAGGTACGCTGAACATGTACATACACAATAAGCATCTGTACAAGACCACAAAACTGGATGCTGCGTTTGAGGGCTTGTTAGGGCTGGTGAACAGCCTTTCCACTCCCAAACAACGAACAGACGGATATATGACTGTCTGACCAGCCGGTGACTCGTCGTGTTCTCCAAGATTATAACCACTAGCACTAGCAGTCCTAATATCATCTCATCTGACTTTCATACTTGACTTCCAGAAGAGGGCATCTTTGCATAAGCGACATCAAAGACTGCGACCTGCGTGCATTGCCAATAGATTTCCGAGCACCGCTTCATGTCTAACGGTCTGGCTTGCAGAAGCCATAAAAGGAGAGCCGCACGAACTACGTAAGATGTGCCAGGCACATGCTGCAAGCCATTTTCTGGCCGCTTTACACGTGGCCGCACGAACTACGTAAGATGTGCCAGGCACATGCTGCAAGCCATTTTCTGGCCGCTTTACACGTGCCCATCGGATCGTCGTCGGTATTTTGTTCAAGCACATGCCTTGGGCATGTGGAAACCTAATAAGAAAAACGCCGGCACTGAGCTGCGCTTTGGAAAAACACGAACCGCTACGGAGCAGTGTCACTCAGTTGCACCAGCTATTGTGCGTATGTGTCCGTCCCTGCTCGGCTGTCCTATACATTCTACTTCGAGGTCCAGAGTACTCCTAAGCATTCTGTGTACTGGGCTTATTTTCAGAGACCTGGTCAGGATCTCCTTTGGCATGAGTAGCATGACCAAGGCGCCTTCGGGTCCAAATGCTGTCAAGCATCGCTTCCCTAGTTCCTGTTGAAAGTCTTGAACCTTTTGGTTCATGTCATCGGCTTCACAACCGTAGTGCGAGCAAACAGCCTGAAGCTCTTTCTCTGTTTGGTCTCCCTGAAGACCCGCCAAATTGTTCAAAAATCCAGCTAGCACAAAGTAGTTCCACGGGGTCCAGTTCCACCAGTGATCCTCTGTGATGAAGTCTACTTCCGCTATCTTCACGAGAACGGCTAAGGCTGCCAGGACGGTCCAAAACAGCCACCAGCAGAAATGGTACGTGGCCTGCAGACGCTCCCCCATAGCAATCTCCTTGCTTATGTTCGCCCCGGCCACCTGCAGGTTTGCTTGAGGCAAACACCGGAGCACAGAAAACCCGCTGTAAATCCGGATGGTGCGAACCAGAGTCAGGCCCGTGCAACCCCGGGCCCAGCTCACGAGTGCAAAGCACAACCTGCCAGCAGCGAAGATACACACCGGGCCCTCCAACCACGCCACGGCACGCTTGGATTGATCCAGGAGTTTGTCTGGCTCCCTTTGCCGCTGCGAAATGGCAACGAAGGCGTAGATGTGCAAACTGACATTCAAGACGCACCGCGTTAGCTGAAACCCGAACATGGCCCACGGATGCTTCAGCTGTCCGCGAAAATCCTGCACCTGATCAAAATCGACTAAATCTGGGATGCTGTCTTCCTGAGAACTCTTCGCTTCCACATCGGGCTGAGGCGCTTTTGAAACGGCTTTTTGGCACGCAATCAAAAGCCCTCCAGTTGCAAAGAAAAGACTCATCGTGCCCCAGATTGCACATCCGATGCCCAAGTGCGTCGGGTAGTAAAGAGGGAAATAATTGGAGTCACTGGAGACAATTTCACCTGGCAGCCAAGTCAAAAGAACAATGCCGAGCGTGAAAAAGACCAGGATAAGCGTGTACACCAGCAGTGGCTGCTTCCAATCTTTCGCAGATAGCAAGCGGCGGACGGAGTATGATTGCAGCACATCCATTGATATCGACGGGTAGCAAGTGGACAGTCAGACTACTGAAGTCTGGCTGAAAACCGATCGCTCGTAGAGTCGCAGACACTCATTTCACAGCTGGTTTCCGAAAGTTGATGCCGCTACAACGGTGACTCACCAAGACTATAGATGTATCGCAGCTGTCTTCCACCCCGACAGCCTGACTGCAAATACCTCAAGGACTACGTAGTTAGATTGAGGTTGCGGGTGTCACACATAACAACAGAGGGAGTGAGGCCTGATCGTCCACTGCAAAGTTGCAAGTTACGTACGTTCTCCGATGCTCCGAGATTACTCATCGATCGAGGTGGCTTGGATTCTTGCAACCAGAAACGTCTCAATTTTCGCAGGTCTTCTGACTTCAAGTGCACCCGGAGGCCTGAAAAATGAAGCGGCTATGAGGGTAGAAACATTATGACATCGTTGACAGAAGGTCGCAGAATGCTTCGCCCTGCGACAGCTTGTGGCTTCACAGCAACTGGGATGCTGGCGGACTGGGCGAGGACCGCTACACAACCTGAATCCCAACTTGAGCTTTCGGGGAAGGGCCTAGTACAGTTGCGAGTCACCGCGTGACTCCTGGGAATCACTTCCCGCAAGTTACGGTGCACGTTTCGACTTTTGAGCTACGGAAGCGAGATCTTAGCTGTGCTCCGTATGCAGCAGGCTTCGAGACTGGGCTGGACAGATTCGAAGTTGGTACATCTGCACGACATCGATATACCTGAAGCTGCGATGACATGTTGGGAGGTGATGAGCTCGTGACAGCTGAGGCACGACAACACATAGCGAAGCTGGAGAATGATTGGCACCGGCAAGCACATGCTTTTCTATCACTGACATACCCTCCGCATGAAGCACAGAACCCCCTGAACTCAGAAGTCCTCTAACTTGGGAGCCATGAACCCAAGCGCCCATTTTCCTAAAAAATAACATGCCGTTCTTGTGTATTCTCGGCCACTCAGCCACAAACAGCATAAACCCTGTGGCTACGAAGCCCTTATCCCGAAATAAGCCGTAAACAGTTACTGCACTGGCTCCGAAGACCTACCTGTTCAATCACACAAGTCCACATGTCGTGGTAGCCCAACAGAAAGGCTCTGAAACCCCTAGAACGGGCCCAAGACGCCCAAAGCTCAACGAGTCTGAATCCTATAGAACCCATCTCTGCCACCTCCGGCACCCGCAAGAGCAGCTCTATGCAGTGGGGTGGCTCCTGAGCCATCACCGACCTTGAGGCGACATCCGGGTCTCGGACTGGGCAAGGTTTCCTGCCTCCCGCTAGGACGAGCCCTGGGCTGGTTTGGGTTTTTTTTGACACTCACACTCGGACAAGCCTGGCAAGGTCCACCACGATACTGTCTTCAAGAATCGTTAACAAACGCAAAAAAGTAGGTTCACTTTGATGCCCGCTATCAAGCAGGATAAATGTAAGAAAAACAGCAGGTGTACAAGCATAGGTACTATCCATTTGACAGCCACCTTCGCAAGCCAACTCGCCTAGACCCAACGCAACCAGCCAAGACCTAGTTCGGCTCTGAAGGTTTCGTGAAAATTGTTCCAGCTTACTCGCTACTCCACAAAGCAGAAAGTTTCAACCTACTCAGCATACACTTCCTCCACCGACGACTCTTCAAACCATGCAGATCCACCAACATGCATGCTGCCAGCACTTGCATCGTCGCTATTTGTGTCAGGAACCTCTTCACTTCACATAAGTCACGTCATGCAGAGTAGAGCCTCTTCGCTTCGTTGAATTCGTATCTCACAAATGCAATCCTTCGCGACCCCACCAACTTGCACTGCTCCAGGGTCTGAAACCATTCGTCTCCTTGAGTTGTAGTAGCACCACATGCAGCTTCAACAGACCATAAACGCCGTTGTTGAATTCCATGCAGTCGCATGCAAAGGTGTGGAAGTACTCAATGCTGCCACCAAGCTGACAAAGAGCGGCTGCCGGATCAAAAAAAATAAAAAGGGATCAATAAAAAAAATTAAAAACTTTAGGATCAAAAAGAAAATAAAAAAGGATCAACAAAAAAATAAAAGGCGAACTCAGGCTGTCTCGGCAATAGCAAATTACGCTACAATTGCCATCCTCCAAGTACTACTTGTACTGCGTCTCAGGGCTCAAGGTGATCGATGCCTGCAACT